GAGCAATCTCGCGGGGAATAGAGACATCAACCGAGAAAAGTAGAGGCATACAATGTGATTTAAAGAGCCAAATGTAGACCCTTTTAGATGCAATCGTCCGGCCAAGCATGCGCAGCGGAAATGACCAAGTAGAGTGTGGCGAGTCCCACATGTACACGAGCTTGTTGGCGACATCTTCATGTCGGCTGGATAGCAAAAAGCGCCTAAAAGGAGTCCACACAAGGAGGGCGGCTGCCTGAGGCGGAGGCATCCGTCTGACAGGGGAGAGGAGCAATTTCTGCGACTCGTCTGTCCTCATATGAGGTCAGAGCAAATAGCTAACAGAACCGTTGTATAATTGACGAGCCTACTGACAGAATGAGTCCACATGTGCATCACATGCGTGAGGGATGGATCGTCTCTTGCCTAATCGTGTCAGGTCAAAGTGTCCGCGTGAGTTTCTCACAGCAACGACTCAAGGGCACACGACTCCGACTCCGACTGCGACTTCTCTGCGGGACTGGTACATGTGGCTCATGCGTAGCCTTGACTGACGGGTTTTGTGTGCACAAGTGGCAAATGGTAACGAAGGGAGAGAGACAAGCATCGACAACAGCTTTCCCACCCTGTAGGGCGGTGAGCAACTTTGAGACTTCGGTTGCGGTGTCCCGGTGAAGCGGTAGAACAACACAAAGAACCAACCTAGTCCGGAGTCCACTGTATGCAGCATCGTTTCCAGACTTTTCGCCGGCATCGTCAGTGAGTCTCGCCATTCGTAGCACCAGATTGCAACTCGGCTTGGCTCTTTGACGAGTTGTTGTGTGGTGCTACGAATGGCGGGACTCACTGACGATCTGTCGGCGAAACGTGTGGGAATGTACCCCTTCCACGGTCCAACTCTGGAAATGATGATGCATACTATGGACTCCGGACTAGGTGTCTTGCTCTAAGTCTTCCTACCGACATGACCAAGTTGCTAAAACAAGGTCAAACAACTTCTATACAACGAAAGGGGACTGCGATCACACAAAAGGTCACACCATCTTGGTCTACATACCTTTGATAGAGCTCGAGTTTATGCTTAGCGAACTATTTGGAATAATTTGATGTGATGTCGATACGAGTAGTGTTTGATATAATAATGCGTAATTGAATGGCCAATATAAGTGATAAATGATAAAATGCGCTGTATTTCGCAATATTACATAAAAAGGATCTATGGATACAACGAGAAAAGAACCAAATTGAAGAAATAAAGACCAACATGGTGTGGCTCCCGATATGACCTCAGTCTTCTTTCGATTTATAGAAGTGGGTTGACCTCGTTGTCGCAACTTGGTCTCGTTGTCAGGGCGACTTAGTAGAACGTACCTAGTCCGAAGTCGTCTGCCATAGTAGTTGTCATGACTCCCGGCATCAGACAGTGGGTTTGGTACATTCTCAAACATTTCGCCGGCATCATCAGTCAGTGCTGACATTCTCTGAACCGAGCTACAAACTCGTCAAAGAGACAAGTGAAGTCAATCAGTCAGCCAACGTTCTTCCGAAAACGGTTACACTATCACTCCTCTTTCTGTCCTGGCCTATCTATCTTCTCTTTACCCTCTTATCCCACTTCAGCCGTATCACAACTTCCCACTTGT